GGTCCACTGGATAATGTGAGAGACAATCGGCATCTTGGTGCAACCTGCCAGACTTATAAATTACGTCAAAGTTATACTCCTGGAGACGTAGAGCCCAGTGACCTAGGCAACCAGTTGGGTTCTTGAGCGACGACAACCAACACAGAGCGTGGTGGTCCGTAATAGCTGAAAACTCCCGGCTATACAAATAGGGGCAAAATTTCGCTACAGCCCAGACCAATGCAAGACACTCTCGCTCCTTTATCGATTTCGCTCAGATGTGAAGAGAAGGCGGCTGGCATACGCAATAACACGCGTTTGGCTTCCCTGGTGTTGAGCGAGGACGGCGCCGATGCAGTGAGCACTAGCGTCTGTGCAAACTTAAGTCGACGCGGACGGGTCAAAGTGGGCTAGTATTGGTGGTGAAGTGAGCAGGTCGATCAGCGTGAAAAACGCAGCTGCTTGGTCTTGGCCCCACGAGAAGGGCACATTATCTTTGAGAATATCAGTTAGTGGTCGTTCAATTGTAGCGAAATTGCGTATAAAACGTAGAAAGTATGAGCATAAGCCCACAAAACTACAAACATCTTTGATAGAAGAAGGCAGAGGAAAATTCTTGACAGCGCTAATCTTGTCAGGGTCCGGTTGGACGCCAGCAGCACTTACACGATGACCAAAGACCGTGATTTCTTGTCGGCCGAAATTGCACTTTTTCGAATTCAGCTGGAGTCCCGCTCGACGAAAAACGGCTAGAATAGTCAACAAACGAGTAAGGTGGATTTCAAATTTTTGGAAAAAAAGAATCACATCATCGAGGTATCAAAGGCAGATGGGCCATTTATAACCATGAAAGAGAAAGTCCATCATGCGTTCGAACGTTGCCGGGGCATTGTAGAGCCCAAAAGGCATAACCTTGAACTGATAAAGGCCGTCCTGTGTGACGAAGACAGTTTTTTCTTGATCTAAGTCGTCGACAGAAATTTGCCAGTAGCCTGAACGCAGATCTATAGATGAGAAGTATCGTGTGCCATGAAGGCAATCAAGGGCGTCATCGTTTCGTGGAAGCGGATATACGTCTTTACAGGTTATCTTGTTCAAGGCACGGTAGTCAATGCAAAATCTCCCGCTGCCATCCTTATTTCTGACTAAACCAACAGGTGATGCCCGTGGACTTGAAGAAGCCTCTATGACTCCTTTGGAGAGCATCTTCTCCACTTCTCCTTGTATAACCTGGCGTCCAGACCGGGAAACACAATATGGTCACCGTCTAACATGACTAGCATCGCCGGTATGTATTTGATGACGCACAAAGGACATTTGACCTAAAGGCCCGGTCATCGAAGGCGAAAATATCTTGGTAGGTGGTCAGAACGTGGTGGAGTTGCACAGCCTGACAGGGAAGAAGATCAAGGGCAATCATCATCGTGATTTCGTCGGTAGGTGAGTTTGCTCGGCTGGCTGCAATAGGGGACGAGCAATCTTTAGGGTCAAATGCCACGATGTTACATGCATCAAGTGGGGAAACGTGGCCTAAGGATATGCCTTGCTGGAGAACTTGGGTCGAACTACTAAAGTTGAGGTGCGGAAGCTGAACATAGTTGTCGAAGATAGTCACGATGGTATGCGGCACAGCAACACTTCGGGCGAAGAGCACATCCACTAATGGGGACACTATGTAATAACCATCAGGAAGAGCTGGTGATATCATGAAGGCCACACATGTGGTGGCTTACAGCCGAACATAATCAGCAGTGCACAAGCAGTGTGATGGTGAGGATGGCACAGTTTCAAGTTGAGGCAGTTCAAGTTAAAGAACGCCGGTTGCACAGTCAATGAGAACGGAATGAGTGGACAAGAAATCCAATCCAAGAATTAGGTCATTGGCGCACTGCTCAATAACTGCTAAAAGGACAGATGTGGGGTGATCGGCCATTGTGATGCGTGCTGTGCACATTCCTGTGATGGCAAGACTTCTTCCGTCGGCGACACGAATAATGCCAGGAGCAGCCGGTGTGTGAACTTTCTTCAGGCGGCGATGAAGTCGGGCACTCATCACAGAAATATGCGCCCCGGTGTCAATAAGTGCAGGAACAGTCAGGCCGTCAACGTCGATGTCAATCAAATTTCGTCGTGTCAACAGTACAAGGAGAGAATTTGAGGTCAGTATCGAGGATGCAGCTTCACCTCTAAGAGCTGCACTGCTTAGTTTCCCTGATGAGAATGGAGCGGGGAGGTCACGCATCGTCATAGAGGAGAAGGGGACGACGGGCGACGCCCAGGTGGCAAACGAGACTGGTGACATCGAGGCGACGGTGAGCGGCTGTGCTGTGTATCAGGGGCATCGAAGGTGTAGGGATTGCAGGGCGGAAGCCGGCGATAGTTGTCGGTGATCGGCGCAGGAGGCTAGAGACGGCAGTAGCTGTCAGCGCGGTGAGCAGTGCCATAATGGGTTCTGATTGATTGATTTGTGGGGTTTAACGTCCCAAAGCCACCATACGATTATGAGAGACGCCATAGTGGAGGGCGCCGAAAATTTCGACCTCCTGGTGTTCTTTAACGTGCACCCTAATTTGAGCACATGGGCCTACGACATTTCTGGCTCCATCGGAAATGCAGCCGCCGCAGCCGGGACTTGAGCCCGCGACCTGCGGGTCAGCAGCCGAGTACCTTAGCCACTAGAACACCGCGGCGGAGCGCATAATGGGTTCTGGACGAAGACCAATGATTGAGGCAACACCGTGTGACGTGACCTATGCAACAGCAGTTAAGAGTATATCGGCCGATCATCCACAGTTTGCCATTCCGCTGGATTGTGAGAGCGTGGATAAGACCGTTCCCAAGGCGATGACCCGGGTCGAGATGGCAACCTTGAATGGAAGCCAATTGATAGAGACTAAGCAACGGCGCAGACATTAAAGCCCAAATTGCTGAGTTCTTTCTGCACAATCGACTGCACCAAGAAAACCTGAGGTACTTGCGAATCGACGTGGCCATTGGTGGGAAGAGCAGGTGTAATTGCTTCAATTTCTCGCCGGACGATTTGTGTAATTTCAGACGCCGGTGAATACTGATGACGAGAGATCAGTCCATCTTCGCAGGAGGACGTCGCACCAGTATTGGGCAGTCAAGTGAATGATCTTGAAATATGCCTGTTTTTGGCCAGTTAAAAACGTCGGCATTCCTCAATAATTTCGTCCACGGTCGCACAGTTCCGGCACATTAGAGGTTGAACGAGTCGTCCGCTATCCCCTTGAGCACGTGGCCAGCCTTACCAGACTACGACATGTCGTTGTCGACATTACAACATAGAGCCAGCACGTTCTGTATATACGAGATATACAGCTCTGTGGACGTCTGAGCACGGATGGACAACTCCTTCTTTGCAGCCGGCTTTCGACCGATGGGCTTCCCAAATAAGTCGCAAAGCTTCTGCTTGAAGGTGTTCCAACTGCCGACCTCCTCCTCATGATTCTCGTACCAGACCTTGGCCGTGCCTTTCAGGTAAAACAGCACGTTGGCCAGCATGATAGTTAGATCATACCGGTTGAGCGCACTGGTACGTTCATAGTCGGCTATCCAATCATCGACATCAACTTATCCGTACCGCAGAATGTTTCTGGGTGCTTCAGATGCGTCAGCACGTATGTGGGTGGGGGTAGGGCCGGTCGAGGCGTTACTGTGGATGGTGCATGCGTTTTCGAGGCCGATGGAGAGGTGGCCGTGGGATCAGTCCCGTGTTCCATCACGGAAACTCCGATTTGACGACCACTGCAAAGTTCCGTTGTATAGTGCTTCGTTACCCGGCACCTCTACCAATTTGTCACGGGGATTACAAACACACAGAGGAGAGAAACGAGTGTACTTCCAATATTTACAGGTAGGTGTGACATCACAGGGCTGCCAGCATCTCGTGCCACGAATCCCCTCCTTCTTCATCGATCCGCCTGTGATGCAGGAGCCATGCCCCACTGCCTCATAACAATATCGTTAGTGGCTTTACCTTCCCTGTCTTGTACTGCATATATCTGGTTCTTGCTGAAGCCTAGTTGTCCCTTCACTGCTTTTGAGTATTCGTCCGTTCTTTAGAGCATGTTCAATTCTCTCCACGTTATTACTTTTTTTATGCCAGCTACATTACATTTAGTTATTAACATCAAAAGCTCTGCCAATTCTATAGTACGTTGTGTTTGAGGCTTCCATGTTTTATGACCTTTCTTAATGATTTTTGTGCCTCCTAGGTGAGCTTGCCAGTGTACTGTCTAATGACTGTACCTTTTAACTTCCACTGCCCACTACGTAATGATACTCGTCAGATTATCATTCACTGCATTAAAGCTAAGGTTCATTTTCTCTGTTATAGCTGAGTACCTGTTCTGAAACGAAACCCTTCAGATTCTGCCATTCCTTCCTCAAATTTAGGCATAAGAATTAACTTATGTGCAAAGCTTTTAACAAAGAAGTTGCAGGGCATTCTAGGAAACACATAAATGTGCAGACAGCTACTGCCTTCCTGCTGGTTACAAAAAAGGCTACACATCTTAAGATCAGTCTATGAAGTGCATGCTGATGGAACCATTCTTTTTCTTTTTATATTCATAAAAATACCATGGTCTGTGGTTCTTCCTCATAACTATCCCCAATTCCATTTCATTCTGCCATTTTTATCTTTTGTATTCGAGTAAAGCGCAAAATCAGCAGTTTTTGAGCGACCTGGTTAAATTACATGTTTTTTTTTTGTAGGCTATATTTCTCTATTTGACACATAAAGTCAAGATGTCTTAGTATACCAATACAAGATAAATTGGACAAGACAATTTTTTTTATTTTTGAGCTTAAAGTTTGCATAGTTCATTAAAGTAGCATCCATATATTATTACCCGTAACCTTTCTCAAGCATGAACAGGAAAACAGAACTCATATCGCATGGCTTCTACACAGGTACATATGCATGAACACACAGGAGCAATCAAAAAGCGGTTTTTTTAAGAAAACAAGGGGAAGTATTAGCAATGTACACTTACCAACAGTATCGCATGTCACGTATCAAGTCCTTGATGCCATCTATGAGAACTGAAACATTCTCAAAACGCATACCTCTACTGCAACAAAGAACCCATTTTAGAACAGCTTTCAACCATGTAATTTTGCTTTACATACCAATACTCATGAAAGTCAAAGCTGACATAAGTCAGTTCAGGGCAGTCCAGGTGAAGAACATGATTCAGGTATGCATCTGCCAGGAGTTTTTCTTTGCCAGTTTGTTCTACAAGGCTGATTATAACCTGGTTGCCATAGAGTGCTATCTGCTCAGCGAAGTGTTTTTCAAAGGCTTGTTTTGTTTCTTCTTCATCTGTAAATGCAAATAGTGAAAAAAAAAAAAAAGTCGTGTCCCAGTCAAGCAGTTTCAGCTCGTAAGCACAGTAACTGTGTGCAGGTGTAAGACAGCACATTAGAAAGTAAAAAAAATCATGATCTGGGAATAAACAGAATCAATCGTGAGAAAAACGTGATTGCATGTAAACAGGTACGATGTAACATCATCTGCAGCATTGTTTGTCAAAGGACATGCAGCACATACTGCACATGCAATCCTGCATACCACAGCAAGATAAATGAATTTCAAACATCTAGTGCACAACACAGAACAAAAACCAAGTGAAAACTGACAAGAGTTATTTTTCTCTCTCTATTTTTTCTGGTTATCACTCGGTCGGTTGTCTTGGATTGTGTGCTAGATTCTGAAATAGAATAACAACATGACCAAACTTAGATTGTTTTGAGAAATAAAGATTACACACTCTTTCCTAGATAAAATAATTATCCTTTTCTTACGAATTCTCCACGTTACAGCGATAATGCAGTTTCTTTTTTTTTACCCTGTTCTGATTACCATGCAGCCAGTATATCTCTTTTCACCTGTGCAGCTCTTATAACATGAATCAATGCAGCTCTCACATCATCCACCAGAAAATCAATCACTGTCGTTGCCAATAGCTAACATAGAGGCAGCTTGTTGAAGTCTAGAAAAATCTATAAGCACCAGAACAAGTCACACCTTCACATTTTATGTAGCTTGAGTGAGTCTCCCTTTTGCATGCTGTCAAAGCATAGCATGGTGTAATGGCACAGCTAGACAACTTTAGTATAATAAAGGTGAAACAAAGGAATACTAATATGAGACAAAAATACTAAAAATTGTTTCAAGAGATGAAAAACATCCTTGAATGAGAAATGTCACTGGAGCCAAAGCAGGGTTAGTACAAATTTCAAGGAAAAAAATTCAAGGATATTCCAAGGAATTTCCCGGGCCTGTCATATATTCTTTGAGGACTAAAAAACACCATCCAAATGAAGGTATTACTTTGTTTTACCATAACAATGCTTCAAATTATGACAAAACTTATCTCACTTATACATATATACTTTAAAATCAATTTAACAAAGTCATCACCAAGCTTAAATTACTTTGTTAAATCAAGAAAGAGCTTTTTTAGTCCTTCGAGACTAAAAATTGTAACAGAGACACCCAAAATCTGCCAGAGCATTGTTTTTGCCACTAAACCATGTGTACTTGAATGAAAAGCCCAATCTGGCTCACATATGCGGTCCGCCCAATGCAGGCCACGTACACCATCATGTGGAACAAGACATGCAGCCAAAATACAAAAACGGGCATAATCAATGGAGCGATTATGCGACCAGTGTAAGCAAGAAAGTCGCGAGGAACCATCGCTTCATTCACAGACGCCAACGCGTTCAAATCAATCATTATTGAAAGTGCATTATAATTTATTCTAATCCTGCTGTTTTGTTTTACTTCTTATTGATATTTGTTGTCCCACTACTCTCTGTAATGTGCAGTGTTTTGAGAGTAAATAAATGAAATGAAATGAAATTAGTGTCATCTGTTGCACAAATCATGATGTAACAAAAGCGCACAGTAAGGTTTCTGTTGGAGCAGTGACAGAAACGATAAACCATCACCATCTGTAGGGCCATCTGATATGTAACAGCATGACTGTTGAGTACACTATTTGGTACATGTGGGTGGCATATAACCTTGTCAAAATAACCAATATAACCTTCCACTATGTTTATATGTAGGCAACCGTGGTGCCTTTGCTCACGTGCTTGTGTTAGTTGTTGAAGTTCGAAAGCGTAACTATAGCTTTTCTTTCTCGCAGCTCGGCTATTCCTCTGGCGACATAAATCTCGCGGTTGATCAACAGGTACTGGTCGCCTTCAACGACGCCTTGCATATTTGTTGATATCTGTGTGCCGACAGAAATGCTTGGTCGCCTTCAACGACGCCTTGCATATTTGTTGATATCTGTGTGCCGACAGAAATGCTGACGCTAGAGCGAGGGGAAATGGTGACTTGTTCTTCCAGCACATGTAAGGCGCGCTTTCCTGATGGTATGTGCAGCGGCAGTGCTTTTTCTGTCGATAAGGTTATCGACTTTGATCTGAGTAGGTTGATGACTGCCCCGTGAAGGGCTAAGAAGTCCAGATCAACAATGATCTGTCTCTGGAGCAACGTTGTAAGACTACAAAGCTTGCGGGGTAAATCCGGTTGTTAATCGAGACTCTTGCTGTGCAGATTCCTGTCGGTGTTACTAAATGACCTCCAGCTGTCTGGATCTCAAGGCCTTCCCATGCGGTCTTCACTTTCCTCAACTTCGTGGCGAACGCTCCGCTGATGACGGAACAGCTCTCGTCGACACCGTCAACACAGCTCTGGTGTCGACGAGAGCTGTCACATTGTGGCCGTCGATAAGAACGTCGAGGTCGCTAGTTCGTCGTCTTGAGCTGCAGTTGGGACGTGGCGTCAGGTCACACAACTATGTTGACTTGTTCCGATGGTTCCGTGTTGGTCATTGGAATGTCTTTGGTACGTGAGGTTCCGATGTCAGGGCATGCTCGCGATACCGTCGTGTTTTTAAGGTTTCATCATGGCGTTGTCATCGGCAGCGGAGGATCATCGGTTGTTGGTCGTACAGCAACCACCCCTCCATCGGTTGCTGCGCTCATTTATTTGAAAAATGCGGGCTAGGCGACCGGCCACGGATTAGGCCCGAGTACGGACGGCGGTGCGGTGAGTTGTAGCGGCCAGGCGACAGAGAAAGGTATGGTCGTCGTTCTTGCCCCTGTGTTTTGGTGATGTAATCGACGATGTCGCGAGGCCTTTCACCCAGCTGCGGACACAGCGCATTGACGGCAAATCCCCGGAGGCCCATCCGTCGGTACTGGTAGCGGCGGTAGGTGTGGCTGGCTTTCTCACAGTGGTAGCATAGCAGGCGGTTGTCAAGGACGCGCCAAACGTCCGTTTTCCTTGGTGTGTAGCACTGGCCGAGAGGAGAACGGTAGGGCGTCGGTGGTGGCGGCGGCGTCGGTGTCGGAAATTCGGCGGTGTGGCATCTTGGTGTGGGCGTGGAAGCGGGACGTATTGGCGGGCTGCAGCAACGTAGTTCATCGCGTGCGGCTGAGGCTGTGGTGCTTCGGAAACTCCTAGCGATTGCTGAACTTCTTCGTGGACAATGTCGGCAATCGAGTCCACTCGGGGTTGCGATCAAGGCAGTAGTTTCCGTAGCTCCTCCTGCACAATCTGCGGGATCGTTTTATGTATGTCGTCAGAGCTGAGGGGGTGAACAGTTGCACTGTCTTGCGTCGATCGGCGATCGTACTGGCGGGTACGCATTTCAAGCGTTTTCTCTATTGTCGTAGCTTCCGATACAAAGTCTTGGAGTGTTTTGGGTGGGTTTCACACCAGCCCAGCGAAGAGGTCTTGCTTTACTCCTCGCATGAGCAAATGGACCTTCTTCTCTTCGGTCATGTCGGGGTCAGAGAGCCAAAACAGACTAATCATATCTTCTGCGAAGATTCTGATGCTTTCATTCGAAGCTGCGCCCGTCTTTAGAACAAACAAGCGGCCCTCTCTTTTCGGGCGACGCGTGTGAACGTTTCAAGGAATGCACCGCGGAAGAGATCCCAGGTTCAAAGTGATGACTCATGGTTCTCGAACCAGGTCTGCGCCGCGTCTTCCAAGTAGAAGTAGATGCGACGCAGCTTTTCATCAGGGTCCCACTGGTTCGAGGCAGCCACTCTGTCGTACGTCTCGAGCCAGGTTTCCAGTTCTTCAAATAATGATCCGTGAAAAATGGGCGGCTCTTTTGGCTATTGCATCACGACCATGGCAGGCGTTGGCACAGCCGCTGTCATAGTTGTCAATGTACTGTTGGTGGCCTTCGGCTTGCGACTGTTATCAGTCAAGAAGAGCCCCGTACTCCGGAGGCAGCCCTCGTTGCCGGCCGCTTGCTCGCAGGTCGAGGTTGGCGGAAATGCTTGGTTCACGGTTCGGGCTTGGCTCTCGAATAGAGGGGGGTGTTCAGTACGTGGACGGGAAGCACCTCCACCAGATGTCACGGAGGCGTGACGTGAACGAAGGAAACAGACTGCAGGTCGAATAATAAACTGTTTAATCGGGCCGAACTTGTGGCCACGTAAAAGGAAAGTCAGGTTACAGCAAGAAGCTGGCAGTGATTGCGGCGAGCAGGGCGTCGGCCGTCGATCAATTGGCAAGCGGCGAAGTATGTCGGCATTTATACACTTGTCATTGAACATTCTAGTGTTATCGCTAGGCGACCCAGGTTCCAGAATAATCTGAAAGGTTCATGAAGTGGGCGTAATCTTAGCAAAACGATCTACTACAGCCTCGAAGCTTTTCTAACACCATAGGCGTGATTTGCACTGAACATAGTGTAACGGGGCGATAACAAAATTTGAGGAAAGGAACGTGGCAATAGAAAACACAAATCAACTACATGCCAGCTAAACAGATAACACAAAGTTCTTTCAAACTGCCAAATAAATGTTATTGTACTAAAAGCAACAGTAATCATGAAGTTTTCTTTACTGCTGGTAGTGTAAAGGGCAACAAAGTTGTTATTCTGCTCTCTCACAGAGTGCCACATTATTTTGAACATGTCAACAGCCCCAATCCTGTGCGACATGATGGGCCGTACTAGACTTCTACAACATTGAATGTGTAAATTAATTGTATTTATGGCACTTCCTCGTTTATATTTTGTCACCATACCAATTAGTCCAATACAAACGATTCATACACCTAAATGAGAGATCATTATTGATTTTTAAAGTGCGAAAAACATGACCACAAGAGAGGACACAGGACAGAGTGCTAAAGACATGTTATGTCACATGTTCTCTTTTGTGGTCCTGTTTTTCCGTGCTTTAAAATCAATAATGAACCAACATCAACTCTCCCAACAAGAAGTTCTATTAAATGAGAGGTGTATCAATAAGATTTTACATAATCTAGCGGCATAACATTTCGCAAGCACAGCTCTGTTACATAGAATGTACTGTTCAAACTAGCATACTTTCTCTTCATTGCATGCAATTTTCATTTTTTAAAAATTTTTTGCTGTGAAGTCAGGCAAAGTCACAGATTCAAATAATCAAGGAAAATATATGCAAGAGCTCACATCTCAAAAAAAGTAGCTTACCCCTATCAAGGCGCGGAGGTGGACGATACTTGTAGCCCGGTTGACTCCAAAAGACGGGCACCGAGCCACGCACTTGCACAAATGACACCACATGGGCAGCGTGCTCAAAAATTTGCTCGGTCTCCACATAGTTGGCGCACTTGCCCATTTCATCCACCCCTCGCCGCTTGTAACGCGTTCCTGCACGGTAACGACTTCGTCGCGACACTAAGGTCATAGTAAACTCCTTCGCCGTTGGTCGTGTAGCACTTTGCACATCAAACCAAGCCCCTGAACTGTCCTGTCCAAGTGCTGCTTCAGTGTGGTTATCATCAATGGGGTCAAGTTGGCAGTGCTCAACTTGCACAAAGCCTTGAATAACAGGTAAAATCCAGTGGTCGCCACCCTGAAAGAGAGAATAAATCAGCCTGCATTTTTGAAAAACAGCACTGAACTTCACTCTTTGGTCAGATAAAGGTCTCAACCAGCCATGCCAAGTACAGTATCAGTCGATTTCATCTTATGACAGTGAATTTCTTTAACTAACGCCTTTCAATCTTTCACCACTCTATTCCCGTCTTTCTTCTCTTTGCACTACTAATAGTTCATTAAGTTAAATCTGGGTTTCTGATGGTATGCACACACATATGAACACTACACTAGTGTTTGGAATTCATTTTTATGATTATCAATTATCACATCATTTATCACAATCAATTATCCCATCAGGTGTGCAGCTATCAGTTCACACTGGCAACAGGACAGTGATTGAGTTGGAAAACACATTCTGGCAAAACAAATGTCAATGAAGTTTTACCCTTAAATGAAGGGTTCAAACCAACTCAAAACTGATGCTAGACTTCAAACACAGCATGATGATGAGATCGTAGGTGGGACAGAGCACAATATATGAGTGGTGCAAATGGTTTCAAGACAACCACAAGTCAGTAGAACAGAATGACCAGTCAACGCTCCTTCTTGACGGTGAAAATTTGTGGACAATTTTTAGGAATGACGCAGAATATTTTACACTCCTTCCCTTCAATCTATGGAGCACATACATGGTGAATGCTACTGTGCGGTTTCATGTATACAGGGTTGTCTACTCTCAGAGTGAACACTACACAGCATGGCCGCACTATACCTAAACCCTTTGCACTTCCAAAACTTCTGTAAGTTCTGCCAACTTTCTAGACGTTGTGGCCCTGAAACACTTCACTAGTTTTGAGAACCACGAAAGGCAAACAACAACGGTACGAGAAAAACTGATCAGCCTTTTACTTCTGCATTTGTTTTTATCCGCAAGTCTTTCACAATATTTGAGCAGCAGGAGGTGCCTGACAGCGGACCACTACAAGCATGTTGCGCTGTTGTAAGGAGAATTACAATGAACCACAAGGGGTTATAGGGGTTGTGACACCCAATTTTTTATCATAATCTGCATTACGAGGGTTAATCCTAGTGTGTTCACATAGCAGCAGGCAATATTTTTAGCACATTTAGTCGAGCACTTAATCCAGTCACTCACTCACTCACACGCAAGCACGCACGTACACACACATATATATAAGAAAGTAGATGCGCTTTGACATAACTGTTTATTCAGCCAACGTTTAGACGAGAACCCCGTCTTTTTCAAGGCATAATGCCTTAACCTTGCGCAACCGAAATTAATCTTCTGCATATATATATATATATATATATATATATAATATATATATATATATATATATATATATATATATATATATAATGTGTGTGTGGTGTGTGTGTGTGTGTGTGTGTGTGTGTGTGTGTGTGTGACGCTATGATGACTGGGCGACGTGGCCTGGCTCATGCGCCATGTTTACTCGATTCTCAACCACTTCTTCTTCTCTACTTCTAACCATCCCTGCCTTCTTACGTCACAGGATTCCCCCTCCCCCCGAAAGATGGTACCGGTTACAAACTGCAACAAATTGAAGAAGAGAATAAACAACATAATGGCCAAATTCAGTTTCATGTCCCGACGGAGTTCCACAATCTCACTAAATCTTCTAGGCCGAGGGGGCAGTCCGGTGATCTTTATGACGACTCTGGTGGACGAGCTTGACTGTTGCATTCTGGATAGAGTGCGCCACACATAGATACTGGCAATACTGCTTGAACTGTTCTGGGGACTAAGCAAGGTTGAAACGCATTGTTGCATCGGCGGCTCGTATTTCGTGGGTGTTGTATTTTTCGTCGTGAATGGTGCGATTCTGGTGCTTCTTGCTTTTGTGCTTTTTGACAGACTGTGACGAAATGCCTGAGTGCTTGCGGTGTGCAAGCAGTGCTTCCGCGTCTTTCTCGACGTCTTCTGTGGTGGTGCAGTCGGTGCAATAGCAAGTGCAGGGAGTGTCTCTGGTGACTTTTCTTTGTGCGAAAGTGCCTGACGTCTTTAATGAGAGATCTAATTTTCCGATGTTCTTCTAATGGAGAGTGCGTTTCCGTCAAACTTTGTGTTTGTTGATGCCCTCGTTGCAGTCTCTCTTGTTGTAGCATGAGTTTGTGAACTTGGCTTTGCTGAGGCTGCTTGGGAGATGGCTGCAGTGGCGCCCTTTCCGGAATGGGGCATTTATTTCCTTCGGTGTTTGACGCGTCCTGTAGACAGCTGATGAATGTTGAACAGGTTTCTTGCTTATCGGGCATGGTTGATGGTGCGCCATCATTGCTAGCCTGCTCTTCAGATGCTTCTGTGACGTGGTTGATTACGGACGCTTCTGAAAGACAACTGTGTACGAGGTTAGATGTATGATTTGCTTCTGAATTGGTTCGATTCTTGGATTGGTGACCACTGCATGAGGGTACCACATGTGACGTCGCATCACCAGGTTGAAAATGCAAATTTTGGCAAGTCTGCGGTGCCGTGGAAATGAACTCTTGCGACAAAAAACATTCAGAGTTGACAGATGGTTCATCAGGGGCTTCTTCTTCGCGGCTCAATATGAGTGGTTCTTGCGCCTGGTAGCATGCGACGTTCGATGCGTCTGAGCTTTCTGTGTTTGGAGTTTCTGGTGGCTGCGCACTGGACGGCAACACCGCAACAAGGGTAGGTCGGTAAGGTTTGAGTTGTGAATGGCCCTCTTCCTGTGCAACTAACGATGCGAGCTGTTCTGGCACATAAATCTGGGTGGTAAGTCCAGGGCTTGGCGTAGCATCGTCCGAGCTCCGCAGCTCTATCCCACCCATTGTGAGCGTGCTTGATGTGAGATGGACATTGTGAGTCACGAAAGAGTCAAGCGATGGAAAACCAGGAGGCGGGCCAAGTCTGCGAGATGGGGAGTAAGCTGCTCCAATGCGTGGAGACTGATTTTCACTCTTTGAGTCATCTTGGCGTTGTTTGGTATTTTCCCCATGTGTCAGCTGGTCTACTATGAACAAGGCGTCCTTATGACACGAATAGTGATCGTTAGGAGCCTTTGAAGAGCTGCGTCGTAGAAAACCAGGTGGTGGACCATGTATGCGAGACGAAGCATGAAAGGCATCAGTAGGGTGAGCGACGTCTCGTGTCGTATGTTGGTGCCACGACTTTGGAAATGCCGACTTTCGTGCACAAAGGAGCTGCGCTTGACGGTTGGGTTTTTCCCAATATACGCATGGCCTTCTGTAAGTAAACGCAGGTGCCACTTCGTCTTGAGGCCCTTGTCGATTCGCGCTCGACTTTCGAATGCTTGAAGACTGCTTAGGAAATTGACGATAGTGTGCAGTTGTCTCGTAGATGGTTGGCAATGAGTAAAGTCTTGGTCATAGTCATTAAAAACGGGTAATCATCTCCTCTTTATTTTTTGCCATGACTCGTTCGCGAATATGTGAATTAGGTAAAAGTTTGAATGCCATCCCCGGTACGTAGTCGCTGAAGGTTCGTAACCATCTCCCGTTCTGACCAAGATGCAGCGGTAGCGTGGAGTTCGAACAGGTTGACCAGTCCGGTACGTGTCCTTCGTCCGCTGATCCGTGTACTTGGGGAGTCGAGCCAGCCGATGGTTAATTGATTTGTGGGGTTTAACGTCCCAAAACCACCATTTGATTATGAGAGACGCCGTAGTGGAGGGCTCCGGAAATTTCGAGCACCTGGGGTTCTTTAACGTGCACCCAAATCTGATACACGGGCCTACAACATTTCACCTCCATCGGAAATGCCAGCCGCCGCAGTCGGGAATCGAACCCCGCGACCTGCGGGTCAGCAGCCGAGTACCTTAGCCCCTAGACCACTGTGGCGGGGCATGGTGCCGTCTGTCATGGTGCCGGTCGTTGTCCTTCAAGGCGATGATTCGGTAGTCAATCTATGGTCAGGGTGTCTTCTGGGTAACTGCGTCGATGATGAGTGACTGATGAAGGGCAGGCAGGTCTCCATCCTGTCGACTTGTGTGACGCTATGATGACTGGGGGACGTGGCCTGGCTCATACGCCATGTTTATTCGATTCTCAACCACTTCTTCTTCTCTACTTCTCCTAACCATCCCTGCCTTCTTACGTCTCTCTCTCTCTCTCTCTCTCTCACACACACACACACACACACACACAAACAGAGAGAGAGAGAGAGAGAGAGAGAGGGGGGGGGGGGGAGAGAGTAGCCATGGGGGTGAGTGTGGCACACTCTTTATGAGCCTGTGTGGTGTCACGTAGCACGTGAACTTATTATGAGCTGGCAGCTGACCAATAGTCCCTTGTATACAACTTTTCTTTCTGAGAAAACTGAGGGCGCTGACTGACACTCGCACGTTTAAATTCACATATATACCCAATAAAGTGGCTGGGAGGCTAGCCGCCGTAGTAGCTCAGTGGTAGAGCATCGAATGCGTTATTCGAAGGTCGCCGGTTCTGTTCCTGCCCACGGCAAGTTATCTTTTCACCCACTTTTCTTTCTTCACATTTACATTACAATTTGGTCTAATAACTTCCTCTATACTTTCCTTGGCATTGTTGTCTGTTAGATCTCATGATTATTGTGTCAAAACACGGAAAAATGAGCCCTTAAGTATACAATTCTTTCCCTTACTCATTACAGAGGGTCTCGTACTGGCAGACTTGGTGCCTTAGGTTGTATACGAGGGTCTACCGGTTCATACCAGCTACCAGCTCATATTAGGTTCGCATGATATTTTATGATTTGCTAGCCTAAACACAGACAAAACTTCAAAAAACTGTTTCAGGGTCCCTTTAAGTGAAACAAACAAATTTTATCTTTTGGACCCGATACAACATAACTCAAACGAAAGCTGACTAAAAGGACATTGTTGACTCCAGTAGCCGAAGCTGTGTTCATGCTGCCACTATCAGCAGAGATTAGTAGGACAGAAAGTTTACGAGCAGTCTCATTATGCCTCGAGATAGCAGGTGCCGGTGACAGCGCCCATCAAGCAACGCCCCCCCCCCCCCCCCCCCTTGAACAAAGCAATGACTGCGAAGCCACATTGTTAGATTTTTTTTTTACCGTCAGCTACCGACCCTGGAAAGCGAGAGGCGGATATGTAACAAGGCGCAGCCGCTTCACAGTAGGCCTTCCGACACCAGAGCCGGCAGTGAAGGTCTCACTACTGAAAGCTGCATATATTAAAACCGATTTGGTGCTGCTCCGATCAGGAGGCATAGGAGGCATGCTTTTTTTTTTAATGAGATGACATTAAAACAAAACGTGCAGCAATTTTAGATTTAGACCCTAGCAATCTCGAGTTCGAAAAGGCAGAGTTTTTAAGGAATTTTATCGCAACAGCGATTACAAACGCGGATGTGCTCGTGGAAAGAATTGCGAAAAAGCACTTCTGAATGAACATCCACGAATAAAGTATATTTAAGGAAAAGTGTCAAGGCATTCCCACTGTTCACGTGTTCTTCTGTGTACCCGAGCACAGAAAACAGGATCGCGATGCGCAGAAGTAGACGTGACAGACATTATGGCAGCACGCGTGCAGTTATATTAGCGAAAATTGCTTTAATTACGTGCCACGCAACTCTTCAAACAATCTATCAGCAGTATTCCTGGTACGGACGACGTCCGCCGATGAATCACCGCCCCAGTTTTGTGCTGCCAGTTGGACTAAAGTCACGAGCCCCCGCGAAGAGTGCGTTTCGTCATTCAGCGGACTTGCACAACAGAAGTTGCGTTGTTGGCAACAAACATAGCATCATGAATTGCTTAAGGCGCACGCACGACTGCTGTTTATTCAGCGGAATAATTTTAGGTACGTGATTGTAACTTTGGCGGCCCCGAGAGCAAGGTGCACATCTTTTGAAGTGCCGCATGACTATTGCCAGTGATGGACGCTCACAAATTCGACTTAACCGCAATTTCTGATGATATTATCAAGATGGTGCAGTAAACCTGATTCGGCACATTTTGGCGCAGGTGGCACAGTTGTGTAATCAATGCAAAGGCTTGCCGACGGTGTTCCATGAGGCCTCAGTTTTTGCCATGCCCACTTGGACTTATCACGAGCACCAGCCTCGACAAAAATGAAGACCACCTGCGGATTTTTTCGGCGCCTATCTGAGCACGGCACTATTGTCAATGCAGCCACTCTGCATGCTTGAGTTATTTCTAGGCCACATTATTTCGAGCTCGGGCATACAGCCACACCCACCTAAAGTGCAGGTCATACAAGACTTTCCATTGCCAACCACGAAGCGCCAGCTACGCCGATTCGTGCCTAAGTGCGCCCATACCATGCAACCTCTTCATGGTCTGCTGAAGGCAATGCAAGCATCTTTAAACGACCTGCCTTGGTGCGAAGAAGCGAAAAAGGCTTTCAAGTAAAGTAAGCAGGCCTTGGCAAATGCGGCTCTCGTGGCATACGCACAGCCAGGAATTCCCCAGTGTTTAATTGTGGATGCCTTGGACTGGAGATAGGTTTGCTAGAGGCTTACTCTACGAAGCAACTGGGAAGAGACGTGACACTCTTTACTGCCGTTGTGCACAAGGACGCTACATCCGGGTTCGTCGACTCTTTGATACGGCACAGAGATGGCACTCGAGGCAGGTCGTCAACAAACACGGGTTTATACACTCAAGCTACAGCATAATGTGACAATTACGAGCTTGTGGGTCGGCATTAAAACTCCACAACACTGACTGAGTGCACCCTTGTTAGCAGGCGCTATGGCTACCACACAAAGGACAGCAGCCGATTGCGCATACGAGAGGCCGCCTGTAGAGCAGCACGTCTACCTCTTGTGCAGGCTTGTATGAATTTGCCTGGCAGCAGGCGAGCGCCGAGCGAATGCAAGCTGCCGGGAAAGGGGGCAAGTGAGGATCGACGAAGCACCGTGACGGGTGCTTGCATGACGCGAGGGGGAGGCATTGTCTGGGCATGTTCGAACACGTGTCTTCGTGCAAAGGAAACCAACACACGGGTTGCGCCAGACAGAAAGGCCTGGCAGCGAAACCATGGTGACCATGCTCCCGGCACTCAAGCCGCACACGGCCAGCACTCGCGCAAGCTGGGGAACGAGGCACCAAAGCAGAGGGCGCGCTCAATCCCCACAAGACATAGCTATTGGTGCCGTGTTGCAACAGCTGAGTGATGGTACTTGGAAACCAACTGCATTCTTCTCGAGGAAGCTGAGACCTACTGAGGGCCGCTACAGCACCTTCGGACGCGGACTACTAGCAGTCTACACAAGTACACGGGACTTCCACCATTTATTAAAAGGCGTCGAGTTCTTCATTTTAACCGACCGTAAAGCTCTGACCTATGCTCTTCGTTTGATGCTTGAGGCCCGTGTGCTTAGATTTAGGTGCTCATTACAGAACCCCAGGTGGTCGAAATTACCGGAATCCTCCGCTACAGCGTCTCTCACAATCATATGAAGGTTTTGGGACGTTAAATCCCCAACAATTATTAGAAAAGCAGGAGGCGTGTTGCTCTCTTCGACTCAAAAACCATGTGGGCTGAGCTACACATGTGCCATGATGTTTAAAAACCAATTGAACCAAACTCAACAGGCTGAGTCAGCACGTTACTGCTGGCGAAATCATCTCGTGCTAGTATTCTGCTTTTGCGCCGAAAAAAGTTTATATGAGCATTGTGAATAACACTGTAATGAGTAACACTGTAATATCTTCCTTTCATTAGCTTACGTGACGCTGCAAAGATGAGTTATCACACCAGCCAAATCACTGTTCCGGCGACAAGTACACGTAACTTGTGTGGATTTTTTTTAAACATATTAGTTTTGTGCGGCTCCTTATTTTCTCAGTTTGGCTTTCCAAACTGCGAGCTAGATGCAGTAATATGAAAAAAATTTACACTTCGCGGCAACAAAGAATGTTCGCACTATGACTAGCAACATCCATACTTCCTGAATGTTAAGTATATTCAAACATACAAACCCACGACTAAATCGTCGGCTGTTTACAAGCGCAAACACGTATTTTGGTCGTGGCATGAATAATCATTTCAACATACTGATATGTTTCGGCTGGACATCTACCTAGAAAACAAGGCGATCGCAACAGCATGGCGACAAGGAGGACTAGACACACTGAATATGGCAGGCGTGATTTCAATGCTTTTACGCCTTTATTCACGCTCTGTACAGTAAATATAATCAGACGCATGCTGTTGGTTTCTCTGACGCGACACTCAATCGGCATGCTCGTGTTCCACATGAAAGCATACTGGTTACCGGCTTTCACCGGTATGCTTTCATGTTTTCAGCATCGTGCAACCGGCAACATTGTGCATGGTGCAGGTGTGCAAATGACATTTGAACGCATGCACTGTAATATCGTGATTACATTGCTAGGAGAGAGCGTCGTTTACAAAGCAGATAAGGTGTTTTAATGCACACAAGCAATTTTCGTTACTGTACTGAACATGAAACTACATATAATGTCCTTGTGTTGCGGGACACAAATGTTTCATCCGCTTCCACAAGCAGGAACACTCCACAGACACGTCGCTTCCCTGCAGAGTATTAATCATGCAAGGTGGTTCTGTTCTCAGTTCTCTCATAGTGCATGAGCAAAATTTTTGGTGAGCACATCAATTCATGTACTGCACGGTTTGTGGATAGGCGCTCGTTCTATGCACTGTTCAAACTTCGTGGCTACCAACGGATTTTATAAATGTTGCTGGGTGCAATTACAGTCGGGAGAATACTGCGGAACCAACAACAAGATGAAAGAATGAATACTGTCAACCACGATTCAGTACGCGAACGAGGTGTAACCTAGGAAAGCACACATGCCACCGCCGCTCCCATCTCAACACAGCAGTCCATGTAACCATAGCAATGCCACCATTGTTCCCAGTGAATATGGCCGCTACGATGTCAATGCCTCCACACTGTCACCTTGGCATTGCAAAGCAGGGCCTCTCCTCTCTGCCTTTCCTCTGTGTTAGCACCCTACTCGTGTTCCTGGCATATAGTTAAAGGGGGCATTGGTCAGAAACATGGAGACCAGACTTCCCTTTTTCTATTGACTCGTTAGAATCTGAGTCATTTTATTTTTAGAACTTTCTGAATATATAATTTCTGGTGTGTACAAGTGGAGCCACATTTATAGTATCATGAAAATATGGCACATGAAAGACTGTTGGTACTATTGGCCAGCACACAACTTAACAGTAAAAACTAAAAGGATGAAGCAACACATCAGAGATTTATATAACTGACCTCAATTTCTGTCAAATCCCGAAGCATTTCACGGTTCCAAAAAAATCTTTCATCCAGCTTTTTCCAATGGGGTGTATCTTCAGGGTGCTGTGGCTGCTCCACTTGGCGTTGCATTGTGTTGGTCAGGTCACCAGTCGGAGAGAAGTAAAATGAGTCCGTGTCATTGAACATCTTCAAGAGTTCCTGTAAACGAGGTTTTTAGAAAGTACTTAATTATTTAGTTCTGACAGCAAGAGCAAACAGGGATATTGTAGAGAAAAAAAAAAAACACTTACATCCAGCAACCTCCGCTCATATTTGTCCCGCTCTCGATTCTGCACAGTCTGGACATAAAAGAAAATCCAGCAATGTGGACTCTGTCTGCCAATACATCTGCACTTACAATCATCAATATGACAATGCCCCCTTCAAGGCAGTGGCCTCTCTCATGTTCCCGCAATAACACAATCCTGTGCTTGCTCAGTGAAGTCCCGTTATCACCGCAAGCTTCCCAATTCCACCGCCCATCTAACTCTCTGCCTCTTTCTGATGCATTTGCCTCGTCTTGGAAGTGAGTCCTTTACTGATTAATAGATATGTGGGGTTTAACATCCCCAAAACAGCTTAGCCCATGACTCTTGACGACCAGCGGCTATCTTGCCTTCTCGCAACGTACTTTGCTCTTGCTCACTTCTCGATTTTTCTAGCATGCTTATAACAAGTATCTATTCACTGACCTACTCTGCTCTCATCTTGTCACTTAGGGTTACACCAATTATTTTCCTTTTCATGGCTCGCTGCATTGTGCTCAATTTAGTCTGCACTAGCTGTGATTATATAGCCTCGCAGAGCTTTTGGCAACATTTGAAGAAAACTTTCAAAGGTTTTTAAGGACTTTAAAGCACCTAACAAACCAATTTTGAAGAACCTGAAACAAAGGAAGGAATAAGGCACCAGTGAGAAAAACACAAGAAGTGACATGGACACAATTTTTTCGCATGTTTGTCGGATCAGATGTGTTTGTCTCGTTCGCACCCTATTCCTTGCATTAACATGCACCAACTATACCAACAAAATGTTCCTCTTGAAAGACCTGAAACAACGCTTGTCGAGACCATAAAGAAAAACATAATATTTTACAGTATGGAAACCCATCTTTCACTGCACACAAGCCAAAGCAAGCAAAATTCTTGCAAGCAATACCCAAATAAAAAGTTTTCACGGTACTTTTCTTTGCTCATTTTCTATTAATAGCAAGATTTACTGCATTGTACTGTTTTGTACATGCTTTCGTATTCTTCTGCTAGTTCTTCTGCTACATGCTCCACTAAAGTTTTCCATTTGAGCAGCATGCATAATTTGGCCGCATTCTCCATTTTTTTGACGTGCACTATCTCTTCTCGCTTGCAGCCTTCGCTTGATGTTTCGTGCACAGCTTCAGGAGCCACCTGAGTGGCATGCATTTTTCTGCCAAGAGGAATGTGCAATGGCCACACTGCGATGCTGCCCAACGTTTCAGCGCGACCGTGAATGAAGCTATCGTCGCGTAGTATTCACATGGCTAAAACTGAAGAACAAAGAAACAACAAAGAAATCCCTACTTTACAGAAACTCATGGGCAAAGAGCCTGATAAAGCCTGATAAAAGAAGCAACTTTGCTGTCAGACAGTTTTAACGGTGTGAAAGTGGTTATAATTTTTTTTTCTCTAATAAGGCCAATGTTGCACAGCTACATCTGCTCTCACTGCAATGTGGCAGACACTCTGGCGCACCTCCTACTTCAGTGCAAAGTAAGCGTTTCAAGACTACAAGCGGCAGCACCAGATGCGGACCAAGACCTCCTCAGTGAAGCGTGGGAGGCTGCGATCTCCCAGCCAGACCTGGTCGAGCAGCGTCAACTCATCGCTCGAGCTCGGAGGAATGTTCAAGCCAGAGTGTTCCTGGAATAAGGGACCCTCCCACCTTCACTCACAAGCTTTGATTGATTTGAGGGGTTTAACGTCCCAAAACCACCACATGATTATGAGAGACGCCGTAGTGGAGGGCTCCGGAAATTTAGACCACCTGGGGTTCTTTAACGTGCACCCAAATCTTAGTACACGGGCCTACAACATTTCCGCCTCCATCGGAAATGCAGCCGCCACAGCCGGTATTTGATCCCGCGACCTGCGGGTCAGCAGCCGAGTACCTTAACCACTAGACCACCGTGGCGGGGTCTAGTGGTTCATTCAATAAATGTTTCATTCACAAGCTTCATTCAATAAATGTTTTTCTCTGTTTCTTTAAAAAAGAAACCCCAGCGTTTTTTCGATGTTCACCGATTTCCACAAAACTTTGCACATGTGTTTCCATCGGTACCGTGGGGATATGTGCGAAATTATACAATCAAATGCCATCTAGTTCTTTAGAAAAAAAAATTAAAATTGGTAGCAGATTTTGGAATCACAGTTGTAAACGCGGGCCAAACACACCTTTCCAAACACACCTTTCATCTCAGTACCAAACACACCTTTCATTTCGCATAATCTTGGTTATCTAAGCACAAAGTGCTGAGGTGTTGATTGATATGGGGGGTTTAACGTCCCAAAACCACTATATGAGAGATGCCGTAGTGGAGGGCTCCGGAAATTTCAAGCACCTGGGGTTCTTTAACGTGCACCCAAATCTGAGCACACGGGCCTACAACATTTCCGCCTCCATCGGAAATGCAGCCACCGCAGCCGGGATACGAACCCGCGACCTGCGGGTCAGCAGCCGAGTACCTTAGCCACTAGACCACCACGGCGGGGCAAAGTGCTGAGGTGTATTTGACTCTGGTGAAGAAATGCAAGTGTCCCATAAACTCCAGGTTATGGTTGCTTACCAGGTTAACAGCTACAAACAAGATTACAAGTAGTTTACGAAAAGCATGCCACATTTTAAAACGGCTTTATACAATGGCAAAAGACATGCCACACAAACCTTGCGTGGCTTGACTTGAGCGGTAGCAGTTTTGATGGTTTGCCATGTTTTTTGGAAAGCTCGCTGCTGTAACTCCGACGCAGGGCTTCGATCAGGCCTTCTCCAACTTGGTGGGTGCTTGCTGCATGGCTGTCAATATGAATGCTAGCAGTAAATACATTTGGTCTACTACTTATTAGACTAAATGTTAGACCATAAGTTCTGCCATACTCTTGCTGTTTTCGACGTGTAAGCACAAATAATATATGCATAAGCATGTTTTAAAGACACGCTCACACAAAATTTCTGAGCCTCTGTTTTCTGCTTTAAATTAGTGGTTACTAGTTTGCTAATTACACCAAAGAAACTCATTTACCCCGGCGCAAGACGGATGTTCAACAACACACCCATATGTTACGACCGGTAGCAGTTTCAATTATCAAGAGTACTTCATGACCCATGACTTACTCGGCCTGCTTGTTAACAAATTCTATTACGTGACCACAAATACCAGTGACATCATTGGCCACTTCTGCCCTGATGTCAGCAGCAGGGGTGCAACAGCCGAAATAGAACTTGGAGCAATTTTTGGAGCAGCAAAACCTTACTTTTGTAGCTTCAAAATTCGAACTTCAAAATTGCTGTAAAATACCTTCCAAGCTATATTTGCTGTTGACATTTTGCAGATGATATATGCAGGTTTGCAGAAATCGATCTTTCAGACTATCTCGGCCCGAAATTTCGCATCAGTACCCCTTTACGCGAGTGCGTCCCTGTTAATGATGATAATTCCTGTTTGCACAACACAACGCGATGACAAGCTTAAAGCAGTGTTTATCAACCATGTATGTTCAGCCGTCATGCAAACACTGCGGAATCAGGGCGTAGATGAAGTATATATAAACATTCTGGAAGAAATCTACAGGGGACCAACTGCTACCATAGTGCTTCATAGAGAAAGCAACAGAATACCAATCAAGAAGGGTGTAAGGCAGGGGGACACAATTTCCCCACTGCTGTTTACCGCGTGCTTACAGGAGGTTTTCAGAAGCCTAGAATGGGAACAGTTAGGGATAAGAGTCAATGGAGAATACCTTAGTAACCTGCGCTTCGCCGATGACATTGCATTGCTGAGTAACTCGGGGGACGAATTGCAACTCATGATTAAGGAGTTAGACAAGGAGAGCAGAAAAGTGGGTCTTAAAATTAATCTGCAGAAAACGAAAGTAATGTACAACAACCTCGGCAAAGAGCAGCGCTTCGAGATAGGTAATAGTGCACTTGAAGTTGTAAAAGACTATGTCTACTTAGGGCAGGTAATAACCGCAGAGCCGAACCACGAGATTGAAGTACTAGAAGAATAAGAATGGGGTGGAGCACATTCGGCAAGCACTCTCAAATTATGACAGGTAGATTGCCACTATCCCTCAAGAGGAAGGTATATAACAGCTGTATCTTGCCGGTACTTAGCTACGGAGCAGAAACCTGGAGACTTACCAAGAGGGTTCAGCTTAAATTGAGGACGACGCAGCGAGCAATGGAAAGAAAAATGGTAGGTGTAACCTTAAGAGACAAGAAGAGAGCAGAGTGGATTAGGGAACAAACGGGGGTTAAGGATATCATAGCTGAAATCAAGAAGAAGAAATGGACATGGGCAGGGCATGTAGCGCGTAGACAGGATAACCGCTGGTCATTAAGGCTAACTGACTGGATTCCCAGAGAAGGGAAGCGGGTTAGGGGGAGACAGAAGGTTAGGTGGGCAGATGAGATTAAGAAGTTTGCGGGTATAAATTGGAAGCAGCAAGCACAGGACCGGGTTAACTGGCGGAACATGGGAGAGGCCTTTGTCCTGCAGTGGACGTAGTCAGGCTGATGATGATGATGATGTTCTACAGACCTCTTGTGGACTGGTAAAAACAAGGGACCCTTTGCAGTAAAAAAAAAAAAAGAGGGGGGGTGGGGGCATAAATTAAATGAAAGAGCTTGTAGCGAGAAATAGGTGCCCTTTGTTTCTCCATGCCAACGAATGGTCAAACTAAACTGTCATTCCAATTTGATCGCAATAACTTGTCAATCAGTTGTGCATTCTGCAGCCACATTCCACAGGTTTATAGCTATGCTTGCCCTTCAAACATGCAAACCTGGAAGACGCAAATGTTGTGGAATATTGCTATAAAAGCTTTACAGCCATCTCATGGAAAATAAAAAACATCAGCGATCTCCTACACAATGCAAAGCTGTTGTAACTGGACATGGCGGGCCTTCAAAAAAAGTGCCCAAGTGAGGGTCTGTGGACCCTCAGAAATAGTCCGCAGACCCTCACTTGAGAACTACTGGCTTAAAAAGCTGTGTTCTTAAAAAAAGAGAGAGAGGGGGGAAAGCAGATTGGTACTCATCAAAAGTAAAAGTTGTACAAAAAACTTCTTTGCAGCATTTCCCAAAGGTAGGTTAACCTTACCTCCATTTCCAGTTCTGGGGCTTCATGGACTGAGAGTGGTACCAGAACAACCTTGTTAACCTTAAAGACTTGGTGATTTCCAGGCAGGCATCCTATGAGACTTGTTTGTCGTATAAGGACCAGCTGCTGGTCAGAGTCTGAAAAATAACAAGGTAGAACAACCTGATCATCAGGCAAACAAATCAAATTTCGTGAGTACCAAAATTTAACATCACAAAATGCAAGCTGTATACTCCAAAAATCTATGGCTCAAGTTTATTTTCTACTGCTTGCTTCCACCTCCCCCCATTTTTTTTTTCCGTTTTCACTTCACCTATTTCTTACTGCTAAGTCACCGAGCAAGAAAAAGTGAGGAGCTGAAACTCCGCCAACTTTGGTGACCACATAACATCGCGAGCAACTATCATGCTAGTGGCATCTGGTGACTTACAAGAAAATTGCCACTATTTCGGTTGCCAAGAAAACCGGTTCGTTGCATGTGCCAATCCCGTTTGGCTGCATACCACAATTGAATCCAGCAGGCCACACATATTTTTTAGCACTACAGTTTTGTGACATTATCTGGCCACCTTCAGTGACAAGTGTTTAATCTCCTATATCTTCTTGTTTCGCGCTATTGGCCAAAGCAGTGGGTTTCAGGGTTTAAACATCCTACAGTTTCATCTGGCCACCAATTAACATCCTCACATGAACTCAAGAGAACTGGTTAATGTGAAAATTCCGTACATTTGTTACACTGCAGGATAGACGAAATAACAAACGAAGCCTTTTTTACAGGTGAAGCTCATAATGCACTGTCAACGGCAATGCGTCAGCATTTCTACTTTCACTGTTTAATTGGTCTGTAACAACCCCTTCAATTGATAAACCCATAAAAAATATATCTACTATGAATTGGGCCCCGCCGCGGTGGTCTAGTGGCTAACGTACACGGCTGCTGACCCGCAGGTTGCAGGATCGAAACCCGGCTGCAGCGGCTGCATTTCCGATGGAGGCGGAAATGTTGTAGGCCCGTGTGCTCAGATTTGGGTGCACGTTAAAGAACCCCAGGTGAAAAACTGATTTGCTGCACAAACTTGAAGGAAAACAAGGGAGACAGCAAAGAGCGCTCTTTCCTGTCTCCCTTGTTTTCCTTCAAGTTTGTGCAGCAAATCAATTTTCAAGTATGAACCAACTAGTCTGCAAAAAAGTATTAACCCCAGGCGATCGAAATTTTCGGAGCCTTCCGCTACAGCGTCCCTCATAATCATATGGTGGTTTTGGGATGTGAAACCCCACATATCAATAATCAAATTACTAAGAATTGGTACAAGACTGCAAGATTCAATTGTACGCCCCACACTCTTTTCTTTTTGCAGGCCATTCTTTTTCTTTTCTTGTCGCTCTCTTTGAAAAAATTACACAAAATTTTCATAATGGTTAGACAAATAGACCCAGCCGTTATCACTCCATTTATGTCCAGAGATTATGGCTACCATGACGACTGTGCTGAATAAGACCTACTTTGTCAACAACTGCTGAACCATAGCTCCCTTGCGAAAATACAGCTCCTTGCTCACATCACCATTCCCTCTGGATGTAAATGAACGCTAGCAGCCCATGATTTGCAGTGGGCAAATGGACAGCGTTGTTCTTCGATTGCTTCACAGCATGCATTTGTTCATGCGAGTCAGTAATGATGTTTTGCTAACTCATAAGCAGAAAAGTTACACAGCAGACAACGGAATGATGAGGACAAGCACTAACTTTCAACTATCATTTATTAAAGCAACACACAAACATATACCTGTCACACAAAATCGCAACCATGTCAGCCGAAGCATAAAAGGTAATAAATCTAACCAAAACCAAGAAGCTGCAAAACTATGCAGGAAAAACAAATGATGGTGAATTTAAGTAAGCTAGTTCCTTTTTTGCTGGAGCGATGGATGGCTTGCTGATGCAGCTTCTATTTTCTATAGCCATCCCTTAATGATGAGTTCAGTGCTATCGTTAGTATAAGTGGCCAACAATATTGTTTCATAAAATAACGGCACGCATTTGCATTGCATACAATGAGCTATCAGAAAACCATTCCAGCCTTTTTCTCTTTTTGATTGTGCTCAAGTAATCACACATTCAGGCATCTGCCTGTCTGTCCAACATAACTTGGAAGACGGCACAAAGGTTAGTTACATACTGTGCCCCTGACAAATTCAACAAACTCATTTTGCTGTTTAGTTTTACACCATTTTGAAGGCTTTCCTACTGGACTGGTTTTCGCACATAACTGCAACAACTTCCCTTTTCCGTTGTGAACTTTTTGCACTTGAGCTATGATGCCACCCGAGAAAACATTAAAAAAAAATTGAAAAGCGAGCTACAGTTCTTGATATTTTAAGAATCTACAGACATTCTGAATTGTGCTGCAGCATAAATGGTGTTTCTGTTTGGCTTTGGTCAAGAGCTGTGTTGATTTATGCAACTACCAATAGCCTTACCCGAAACCAAAACTGATATTTTGTGAAAAAGAAACCTAGATTTCAATCAGTAAAACAAACCTAAGTTTGTGCTAAAATATCCAGGACACATTTACACTACTTTGTCGTGAAGTATGCTAAATTAATAAGGTTGGGCAATGGCAATTGCGACCATGTTTACACTACACCGACATGTTGTACTACTATTCATTCATCAAATCAGTGTACTATATCATGATTTACAGAATATAACAAGATATGGCTAAGTTCCAAGTGAAACAAAGGCCGAAACGCAAAGTGTGAAAAGTTGGGTACCTGCAATTGAGTGAAAGCTTTGGGATATACAAGATAAGTTTTACCAAAAACATCATGAACAAAGAGAAGGATGTGTATGTAGACCTCAGTTTAGACTATATTTTGACTAAATATTTCTGAGGCAAAACCCAAAATCCGAATGAAGGCTTCAACAGGATGCTGTGGCAGCATGTCCGTGACTGCTCCGTTCGGACTATTAGATTTTATACGTCAGTTCAGCTATGGAAATAGTGGCACACTGGATATCTCAAGGCAGGCTGGTGTCGATCCTGGCGACTACAGCACAATATCTTGCCTCAGCACGGACTGAACTCACTTGAATAACGCCAGCCGCCCGTCAACTGCTGACGAAAAACAAGCTATGTACATAATAGGTTTGGTAAACTTCTTTCTTGTCCTGCGTGCACTGCATCAACCACATATGAATGCATACCAAACAGGCCAGCTAGACTTGCCAATTCTATTCTAGCGACATGCTTCCAAAAGTGGATACATTAAAATCAGTATAATGTTCTGCTTTCCAAATTTGTAAGCAGCCCATGGCATCTCTATCGCTTATTATATTTGCTGTTATGTGGACTCCTTTCTTCTATCTCAAGCAAGTTAGAAAGTTCTGCGTACGAAATTTCCATGCACTTCTGAAAGTAACTGCGGTAGATATAAGCGCCAAGTGAAAGAGCTTTTAGATGTGCCAAGAAACACTGGGCTCATAAAAAGGTGTTGAGACTCTAAAAGTACTTTCGCACAACTGGAATTGTGCGCCTTTATTGCTGCTACAATCAATTGCCGCACTTCTACTGACAAACTCACATGAACAAACTGCCCCGGTGCACTTTCTGATGGAAGTGTGCCTGAACTCAAGACCTGAATACTTGTGTGTGTGTGTTCTGTAGACATTTTCACAAGATGTGGATAGCAAAATGGTGCATCTTCTTTTACACCAGAACGTTTATGCCCTTTTAATGTAATTAGGAAAGATGCTAAACTTTTGCAACAAGGTTGTTACCGTTTACCCAATGATTGCATTCTTTAATGCTTCTGAGAATGAGAAGAACATTTTTCGAATTTCACAGAATGAAAGTTGCAAGTGTAGATGGGTAGTTGTAAATGAGATAAGAACAGTGAGAAATGTGTCCTGAGCGTAGCAACCTTTCATCTCCAAGTTTATGCTTTATGACATGCAGGAACTCTAGTGAATAAGTTGGATTTTATATTTTTAAGTGCCAATGATGACTGCCTTACAATCGCTTATACAGATGAGACAATAGACATGTACAAAGCATGATCGAGTGTGCCAATTCAGCTTAATTTCATAGTACTCTGCATTGCCTCTTTCAAATGTGAAAAATGTTTAGTGGGGAAGGGGCCAATAGAACAAAACACCCCCTCAGGGTTTGTGGCATTAACAAGGATATAAGAATGATTGCTATGCTTTTGAAACATCTCTGCTATTTCAGACTTTCAAGTGGAATACCCTTGAAAGGAACTTAAAAGAAGAATGGGTGCCATTTTTGAAGTGCTTCACTGCCTTAAAACCTACCGTATTTTCTCGCCTATGATTTCCACCAGAAATAGAAAAAATGCGCTTAAAAAGTGTGGCTGCAGGTTATATGCATGTATTTTTTTGTACAGTTTAAGGTATAGGTTACAAGCGAGAAAATACAGTATTTTGAAAGCCACAAAAGACCACTCTCAAATAGAGCCTGATTTAGAGGCATAAAATATAAACCAGAAACCTAGGGACTTCACCTTCATCACCAACAACTTTTTAATTAAAATTATTCACTAGAACAAATGAGAGATCATGTTTAAAACACAAAAGTAAATAATTTCATGAGGTCTAAACATAAAACATGTGCACACACCTTACAATGACCTTTGTCATATTTCATGACAGTATAGAAAGCAACAAAACGTTATGTAGCACAAAACATGCACATCAAACACTCTCTGCTGTGAAATAACATTTAGCTGTCCTGAGGTGTATACAGATTAACAAAAGAAATACGCGTTCATACATGTCCAGCATTGATTACATTCGGAATTTAACTAAGTTGTGCCGCACTCCAAATCATCACTCAATAACTTGAAAGAAAAACTGCAATTGTTGATAGAACCCAAAGAAAGTAATAACAGAAACAAAGGCACCCAAACGACGGCACAGTCTCAAACCCTAAGTTAATGCAAAACCACAGCCCAAAATCTTTTGCAAGAATCTGGCGTTTGCCAGCCACCTATTCAAGCTTGTGCATGCCGAAATGAAATGGCAGGTGGTGGGTGTCGCACATGCTACATTTCTGCATCAATATACAAGTTTTTTTTTTCGTATGATACAGCATTTTTATAAAAAAAAACCTGCAACAGTCAGGCACATGTCATGTTCACACGAAATCTATGTTTAGGCAGAAATACTCTGCCACACCTAATAATAGCAAATGATTAACAAAATTGATTAAGTTTTAATTGTTAAGCTCGGACAATACGTTAGTATGGAAAAGTTGTGGGGCCTCATAATTTATGACATATCCACTTTTTGGAGTTTACAAAAAAACCCATATTTGAGATATTATCATAATCGAAGGTTCTGATCCTAGTTATATCGAAAACCAGAGCACAGGAAATCTAGCGAAACAACCTGTGACCAACTTTGAACATGCATCCCGGCTAGTCAGGAAAAACGGCAAGTCGTCTGAAGTACACCAGTGGACTGCTTATTCTTTGCGTGTGATGTTTTGTGCCTACCTCGATTTCTTTCTTTAACAATTACTGTGGCTCTAAGAACTGTCTCGCCTTTTGTTGATCTCAAACTACAAACGTTTTCTGGAATTTCTAACAAATGGATGGGCCATAAATTGTGATGTCTTACAGCTTTCTCATGTGAACAACTGTACTCAAGTGAATGGCTAAAAAATTAACATGTTTTTGCATCGTTTCCACGTAACTTTAGGCGAGGCAAAGTATTTACACCGTGTCGTAGATTTTGCAAGTGAACATAGCAGTTGCCCAACTATCATAGCATTATAATCAAGATCGTTACTATAAAAGAAATTACCCAGCATGTTTTAAAAACACAAGCTGGCATGCAAAACAGTGGTGTTAAGCTTCCTGAAACTGCTTGGAAATCACAATGATGATACCCAGCCAACAAGGGTCATACATGCAAATGCACAATTTAGACTAAAAGCCAGAAACTAATGATGTTTACTCTTAATATCATAGATTCAACACACATTCTAAACTAAAGAAAAAACTTTCTGATAAGAAAGAAAGGGAGAGAGAGAAGTAAAAAAAAATGATGTGCAATAGAAACAATGAAATATTCATTTCGGAAAAATCCTGATGCAAGCCCATGATATCCCTTGATAGCACAGCAAATTACACTATAATTATGGTTTTTGTGCTCATATGGCTTAACTGCACAAACAAGCACACTGGTAGATAAAGAAAGGATAGCGCAGTCTTCTGGTTTTAAACCCAGGCACACTCGCACAGCAAAGTTTGGCAACTGCTCCTGCGGTCTTATGATTTTGATAGTAACGGTACTTTATCAGCTGAGAACATCGGTCAAGAGGCAGCCTTGTAGTACACGTCAGATGAATGTGACTATTGGGCATGTTCTTTTATGTTCTGAACTTGTGCATAAAAAACCAACATCTGCAGACCTTCAACTTTTTAAATGATACCCAAAAGAACATATTGCCACACAGTTTCGCGTGGCTTCGTGTGAAAGAGGACGAAGAAGTTCGGACTGAGCCGCTTCTTGGCCCAGCTCAACGAGCAGTACTACGCAAGGTTACCTTGAGCATGACAATATATTAAATAGACATATGCACTGCAGCATATATGAGAAGCAAGAAAATTCTCACCCTATTAGTTTACTAAGTAAGATTGATACTATAAATTTTCTTTCCCAAGTTTATATGCAAGCCCACACATGCACGCATGTGGGTGTGTATGCATGCAAGAGGCATTGGCATTCTACTAACCTTTAATACTTAGGAAGGAAAATTTTAAATATTTGGATTTAAAGTTTATGACTACATAGCAGCAACAGAAAATGGAAACCCCTTAGAAACGCAACTTTTAAATGCAATTGTGAGCAGATATTACTCAGGTTTACTTAAATACAAAATCTAATAAATTATGGCCGGGCCATATCAAGAACCTAGGATGAAGTGCCCATAAATCATTCCTAACAAATCAAAAGAAATTAAGCATGGACTTATGGCCAGCAATTAGCATGAAAAGCTATGCTGCTTTGGTTGCCATGTAAAAGTTTGGTACTAATGTGACTTTTCATAAGGCTAACTTTATGAATGAATTCAGAGATATACAAATCGTGCACGGGGGTTTCGATGACAAATTATTGCACTCAGCCTAACAGCAAGTATATAGCTGCAGTGCAATGCAGTCTAGGATAAAACAAACAAAAAAAAGGCCAAGGTGCGAACCTGGATGCGGCTGAAATTTTCCAATTATTCCGTAGACTGTGCCCAAGCAGACAGGATCTGTCAGTTGATGCAGCTCGGATCCTGCAAGGTAAATACAACAAAACTAAGAAACAAAAAAGCCGCCAGCCCGGCATGAAACAATGACAAATAAAAACTCGTATGTCGGCGCATAATCTAGTTCCACGCTAAATGCAATTGCAGACAAGTCAAGCGTTTGCCACCAAACTAAGCGCGAGTTCTCGCCGAGCGAGAACCGCGTGCTCGCGTGGAAAATGAATCGCCCCGTAGCAACGTCGCAAACATGCGCGTGAACGAAAAGTGAAACTAACAAAAGTTTTCTGACGCGGCGTGGATAAACAAAAAAGTGAGAGGGAAGAAACTCGGATACCTCTCAAAACTGTCGCCGATGTCTGAAATAAATCAAACAGGATGTGCTCAACTAAAGTTAAGCGGTCAAACGCAATAAATAACGACGGCCACACTGACCGACGGCTCACTGAGCGCGATCGATACACTTGATGTGAACTGCGACGGCAAATTTAGCTTGCCGCCTGGCTTAGGTTCTCAAGAACACGCTACATGACCGCACACTTATTACGTTCGCTCACACAATCATCTCGCACAACGACGGGCCGCTCCCGTAATCACAAGCCAAACGTGATGACATACGTACGTTTTCTTGGTTCCAGCTTTCCATCGATGCGGCTGCACCACAAGGTTTCTTCACCATCTACGATCACGTAATAATCTGGAGTCATAAGAATTTCCATAGCGCCAGGAAGAACCGCACCGGGGCAGGCAGCAATTGTTACTTTACCCAATCATACTACCATCTTCCTAATTATTTGCCCAGGTTAGCAATTGCTAGACACATGGGGCAGCCGGGCGTGAACGCGCCCACCACGGAGCCCCATTACCATCCCGCCTGGCACTCCTCCCCTTTCTCTCTCTTTTCCAGAAATGATGAGAAGGAGAGAGAAATTTGATTGACGCTATCCCTGCATCAACAACAAAAAGGGTAATTTCTTTTATTACACTACAACAATAGGGTAGGGAACTCATGTTTTTCATAGCACTGCTCATAGATGAAATGCGGTACGCATAAAGTTTCATACAATAATAACTAGAAGGAAACATGGGAAGTGGTTCGGTTCACCCGGTGGCACGAATCTTTTCGAGGCAAAAGCGTTCGGTTCACCCAATAGCCGCTTAAAACCGGCTTGACTTGGCTCAAAGTGTATGAAATAGATGGCGCTAAAATCGGTGTGTGTAGTTCAGTTCAGGCTGTCAAGGTGGATGGACGTGTTTTTTTGAGCGCTCCGGATCGACTGCGCAGATAAGTGTTTTTGCATGTTTTGAGCTTGTCTCTATAATTATAAGGCAGCGGTTGAAATCTTCGTAGCACTTATTTTATGGTACGGCTTTTTCGGGGGCCAGTCACCAGGTATTTATTAGTTAGTGCGGGTGTGTGTGTTTGAAATTTTTTTTGTTGTTTTTTTTTTTGCCACCCCGTTGGGGAGGTGCGCGTACATTGAACACGCAAATTTTTGTAGTAGAGCTTGGACTTTCTTTTTTTTTTCGTAGTGCAGGGCTCGAGTTTAGTAATTATCGAGTATAGGGACAATTGGTGTCAGAAAGGCATGGTTAAAAAGACTGTAAAGTGTTCAGGATGTGGAGTGGGTTTGAAAGTGGACCCAAGCGTAGAAGCGGATGGAGAAGAGGCTGACGCGAAGTGTAGGCAATGTGAGGTCGAGGAAAAAATGGAGAAAATGATGGTTGCCCAGAGTGAACTGCTGATGAGAATCGCCAAACTCGAGACTGCGTTGGCGACAGAGCAAGAAAAAACGAGGGCAATGGGAGAAAGACTGAAGTCCGCCGAGGAAGTGCTAGCGAAGCTGAACAAAGAAGCGACCTACCGAGAGAACAGTAGGGAACCGGCAACCAGAACGGTGGAGAAGGAAAAGCAAGCAAGCTTGGAAAAAACAGGTTTAGCCGGTTCAACTGTCTCAAGGCCCAGCTTCAGCGAGGTAGTGGTGGGGCAGGAAGGGAACAAAGCAGCCAGCGTCACAGGTGCAAGTAGCCCCCAGGTGCAGAACGCTCCAGCGGAAAAGTCACAGCATGTGATAATCGCCGGGGACTCAAATTTAAATCGATGCACAGAAGCCATCAAAGAGAGGGTAAGAGGTGACAAGAGGGTTGCAGTAGGGGCGTTCCCAGAACGCAAGCTGGAAGCAGTCATGAAGCAAGCGAGCGCAAAGCTCAAAACGACAGCTGATAGACGCAACCTCGTGATAATTTCAGGCGGTTTAAACGATGTCCTAAATGAAGATGCAGCAGGACTAGCAGCCACACTGGCGAAAGGCGTCGATGACATGCGCGCCACTTCTCCTAAGGTGCAGGTAGTGATATGCACGATACCGGAGGTACCGGTGCGTGATAGCAACCTGCAAAGAGCGGTGGTCAACGCAAACCAAGAGATATGGCGGATGAGTCGAGAGAAAGGCTTTGAGGTGGTGGAAATAAACAGAGAGGTGCATAGGTGGGGGGGTTTTCAACGAGACAGAATTCACTTCGATGGGCGGCTAGGTCATGAGGTGGGTTGGCGACTTGCAGGACGCGCAGTAGCTTTTTTGGGGGGCAAGCGAGCCCTTCGGGGTGCAGGATAGCTAGTAACGAGGAAAACAACCAGGGAGACTCTTCGACAGGTGGTATGGACAGATACGATTCCAAAGTGGCACCAATATCTAAGATACGTAGAGTCCGGGGCATAAATAGACGTAGCCACGAGCGCCGAGCCAATTCAGACATAGGGTATATTAACATGCAGGGTGGTAGGAACAGGCTGAAGTGGGAAGAGATAGAAGAACAGCTAAGGGAAGAGAGGCCGATGGTATACGGTTTTGTAGAAACACATCTCAGGGACATGGAACAACCTCCGAACAATCCGGACTACGCGTGGGAGTATTGTAATAGAACAAAAGGCAGCAGAAAGGGGGGTGGTATTGGGGCATTCATTCATAAAAGTACAGACTGGCAAAGGGTCAAGCAGGAGTGCAAGGAACATTTATGGCTAAAAGGGAAAGTGGCAGGTCAAATGACACTCCTTGGTTTCGTGTACTTGTGGACGGGAGCAAAGGCCAGAGAGGAAAACCAGGCAATGGTAGAGTGTATATCAAAGGACATTCAGGAGTTAGGAAGAGAGTGCGAGATATTTATACTTGGAGACATGAATGCGCACATAGAAGATATAGATGGGTATACCGACCCGACAGGCAAAATGATCATGGATATGTGTGAAAGGCTTGATTTGATCATTTGCAACAGTACCGAGAAGTGTGAAGGGCAAATAACATGGGAGGTAGGAAGGCTTCAGTCGACGATAGATTATGCACTGATGTCACATAGGATGTATGATAAGCTCAGGGGAATGCACATAGATGAAGGTGGCTCCAGAAGTCTGGGTAGTGATCACAAACGTATCAAGCTAAGTTTTGTAAGAGCAGCAAAAGTGAGAAGGAGACAAGATGACCAACTACAGGAAAATTTTTATCCAGAAAGGCAAATTGAAATAGCCACTAAACAAATTGAGAAAGTAATCACGGAGGATAATAAGACAGTATGGACATACACGAATCTAATTAGACTCTTTGAGATAGAGCTTGCTAAGACGCGTGACAAGTCACCCCGGAAAAGAAGACACAAACCCAAAAGTTGGTGGGATGAGGAAGTTAAGAGAGCCATAGCAAAACGCCAGGAAGCCTCTAGGGAACACAGACATGCTAAGCAGCGGGGTGAACCGACAGATGATGTGGAAAGAAAATGGGCAACCTTTCTAAGCTGTAGAAGGGATGCATCCCTTCTGATCAATGAAAAGATTAGAAGGAAGGGAGCTCAGTGGCTGGCAGAAGTACATAAAAAAGATAGAAAGGCAGCTGCGAAATTTTGGAACCATCTAAACTCCCTAAGAAATGAGACGAGCCTAGAGCAGAACTTTATAACTACAGCCCAAGGTGCTAGGCTAGAAGCTATTGAATATATAAGAACAAGGGTGACAGAAAAATTTCAACAAAGAAGTACTTTATGCACCACAATAGACAAAGACGAATCAAGTGGTGCAATGGCTCCATTTTCACAACAAGAGTGGGAAAGGGCTGAGAAAAGGGTTCCTAGTAGTACATCAACAGGCCTAGATGGCATTCCAATTAGGCTGATAAAAACATTAGGTCTGAAGTCTAAGCAGGCTTTGAGAGAGGCAGTGAGTACAATAATAATCGATGGTGAAGTTCCCGATGGATGGAAACTTAGCAGGATGAGCATGATCTATAAAGGAAAGGGGGACAAAGCTGACATAAACAACTACCGTCCTATAACAGTGACATCAGTGGTCTACAGGCTGGCGATGCAGATTATAAAGGAAAGACTGCAGGCGTGGATAGAAAATGAGGGGGTGTTGGGGGAACTGCAGAATGGGTTTCGGAAACACAGGAGGTTGGAAGACAATCTGTTCTCACTGACGCAGTGCATCGAAATAGCAGAAAAAGAACACAGGCCCCTGTGGCTAGCATTTTTGGATGTCAAGGGAGCGTACGATAGCGTGGTTCAAGAGGAATTGTGGGGAATACTGGACACACCAGGCGTGGAGCATGTAGTCACTAATCTTTTAAAGGGTGTCTATAAAGGTAACAAGGTAGTTATAAAGTGGGAAAAACAGGTATCCAAGCCTGCAGAGGTAAAACGGGGGCTTAGGCAGGGGTGCCCCCTGTCACCCTTATTATTCATGATGTACCTACAAGGATTAGAGGCAAAATTAGAGGGAAGTGGACTGGGCTTCAACCTCTCTTTAGTCAAACAAGGAAAACTTATTGATCAGGCACTACCAGCATTAATGTACGCAGATGATATAGTGCTAATGGCCAACAACGAGGAAGATTTGCAGAGATTGATGGACATCTGCGGTAATGAGGGAGATAGGTTAGATTTTAGATTCAGTAGGGAAAAATCAGCAGTCATGATTTTCAATGACAACGAAGGTAGTGAGCTTAGAATACAGGAGGTCACGCTAGAGATAACAGATAAATACAAATATCTGGGCGTATGGATAAGCAATGGGACCGAGTATCTGAGGGAACACGAAATATACGTGACGACTAAAGGTAACAGGAATGCAGCAGTCATGAAAAATAGGGCACTGTGGAATTACAATAGGTATGATGTTGTGAGAGGAATATGGAAAGGGGTCATGGTTCCTGGGCTGACGTTCAGCAATGCGGTCTTGTGCATGAGATCAGAAGTTCAAGCAAGATTAGAAATTAAGCAACGTGGAATAGGTAGGCTTGCTTTAGGAGCTCACGGGAATACACCAAATCAGGGAGTACAAGGTGATATGGGATGGACATCATTTGAAGGCAGGGAAGCTAGCAGCAAGATAAAATTTGAGAAGCGATTGAGAGAAATGGGGGAAGAGCGTTGGGCTAGGAAGGTTTTCAGCTACTTGTACATGAAGAATGTCGATACAAAATGGAGGAAGCGAACCAGGAAGTTGACTGGTAAATACTTAGAAAACAGCAGGTGGCCAAACCAAAAAGAACTATCGGTTAAGAAAAAAGTGAAGGAAACGGAGACTGACATGTGGAGAATGGGCATGATTAAGAAGTCCGCACTAGAGATCTATCGAACTTTTAAGCAGGAAATTGCCAAGGAAAGGATCTATGATAATACTCGGGGTAGTTCTCTACTGTTTGAGGCCAGGACGGGAGTACTGCGAACCAAGACATATCGGGCCAAATACGAAGGGGTCGACACAGTATGCAGTGCGTGTGGAGAGGAAGAAGAAACTGCCGAACACTTGATAATGTTCTGTAAAGGGCTTCACCCTATAGTTCAGGATGATGGCGCAGAGTTTTTCAAAGCACTGGGATTTAGGGACAGCGAGGGCAAAATAGACTTTAA